GTGACAATAGACACTCTACAGGACTTTTATTTCTCCTTTTCTCAGCTGCTGAAGAAGATGTTTCACTTGTTTGTTTTTTGCAGTTTGTGCTTTTGGCATCTGGTTGGTAAGTTCTAAACATTTTTATAGATTCAATTGTACCAGACTCATAAAACAAAGTATGATTTCACGGTTAGATCTCGTCTGTGTTTGGCCTCACATTCAGTGCATTTTCTATTTCTATCCTGAATTGAATGATGAAATCGGAAACCGATGAAGTCGTAGTGTTTTTATCGGTCGTCTTTTTAAGCTTATGTCCAATCAGAATTTCAGACTGGAAAGGGTATAAACTGCATTTAAAAATGTAAAACTAAAAAAAATTGACTTTCCTACGTTCCAAAAGCCAAATGTACAGATACGGCAGTATTACTGACTTTATCGATTTATATCAGTTTAGTCAGATAATATACAGTTTATGAGACTGTATAATAATGTTCATTCAGCTCCTCTAGAGATTCTGTAAAACAAGTGTCTTTCTTTGCTTGCTATTGAAATAACGGACCATTATAAATGCCAGTCTGAAAGAAGATCATTCTGTTGTGTTTTGATGAACACTGAAGAAGCCTGCTAGCCAAAACATGTGTATTTTTTTCATGCCCTGTTGTGATTTACTAAATATCTTCTGAAGGATATCTTGTAGAGTACACTGCAAAAAATGACCGTGAATTTAATGGTAAAAGACTGTAAAAATGCTACAGTAAAAACCTGTTAAATGGTTAACGGTAAATTCCCCCACTATATACGGTGGAAAACTGTATTGGACATTACATGTATTGGACATAAATTTTACGGTAGTATACCGTTTTTGGAAGTGAAAAAGACCATATAATTTACAGTGAATAACCATAAATTGACATTCCCAGAATTCAAGTCAAGTCAAGTCAAGTTGAAAACACCATCATGGTAACACACATGAAACTGAAATAATGCAATAAACATTCATTTAACAACATTAGGTGTAACACACAACCCTAATATACAAAACTGATAAGAAAAAACTAAGAAACAGTTATTTCAACAAAAGAAACATCAAATTTGAAATGTAACGCAGGGAATTGAATGGCTTGCCACAGGCTCCGTGTGTCTCTGCTGTCTGTGAATTGATTGTTGATTTTTTGAGCATACGACCGTTTTGCTCAAAAAAAAAATCAACAATCAATTCACAGACAGCAGAGACACACGGAGCCTGTGGCAAGCCATTCAATTCCCTGCGTTACATTTCAAATTTGATGTTTCTTTGTTGAAATAACTATGTTTCTTCTTAGTATTTTCTTATCAGTTTCATTATATCAGTTAATGAAATTACGGTATTTAACTGTAAATTTAAGTTTTACGGAATTTTTTTTACGGTGTACAGAGCTTTTTTTTTGGGGGGGGGGGATTTTGTTGAACATGAAAATAATCTTGTGCTGATAAAATACTGTGAGAAATGAAACATGCACTAATGAAATCACAGCAGCAGAAGAACTAGTTTGTTGTCATTTCAGAGTTTTAAAAAGTTGCCTCATGTGAAAATAGTGCAATAGAAAGGTGAAATTGAGAGATCTGTGTGTTTGGTTCATAGATTTTTGGGCACCAACTACAAACAGTGTTCACACAGACTATAAGATGATGACTGATGATGAGGATCCTGTATATCTTTGCGATGCTTCGCATAAATCTTCATATACAGTATACGATGCCCTGACCTAATGGTTAAAAGTTTAGTTTTCAGCAATTCTACTTGCCTAAAATCATCACCAGAGAAGCTGATGTCCAGTTAAATGTACTCAAAATAGATCTGTTTTATTTCACTTCTGATGTTTAAGTTCAATGAGAGCCGGTGCCAGTGTGGTCTGAGCTGAACTAGACTAAAATCAGCTCCAATAGTCACTTTTTTAAAGGCTCTCACTTCACTGCAGTGTTCAGAGTCTCACTTTAATGTCAAAGCCAAAAATAAGTTTGTGATCATTTCAAAACTACAAGCTTAAAGACAAACATTGATTAAACCAGTGTTAAGATATTTATTTTTACTTTAACAAGAACTAATGTGTGACTGAGAAACTGTCTGTTTTCCAGTGTTTGGTGATTCAGATGCAGTGAAGTCTGTGTCAGTGACGGAGGGAGATTCAGTCTCTCTAGAATCTGGTGTTACTGAAATACAGACACGTGATGTGATAACATGGACTTTTGGACATCCAGAGACTCGTATAGCTCTAATGAGTAAAGAGAGTGGAACCTTCTCTACATCTGATGGTGATGCTGTGGGATTCAGAGACAGACTGAAGCTGGATCATCAGACTGGATCTCTGACCATCACAAACACCAGAACCACAGACTCTGGACTTTATACAGAAAACATTAAAGGCACAAAACTAACCATATACAGATTCAGAGTTACTGTCTATGGTGAGTCACAATTATACAGGTGTGCTTGTTCTGTCTATACTATTTATTAGAACATTAATCTTAAGATGGGCTTCTTACCAGTGGCTTAACTTGGATGATTTGGCCTTCATTCCTAAAACATTTGATGGTCCTCCATCACTTCCACAGCTTGCAAGAACAAATGCAAATACAATTTTTGGAATACCCCAATTCCAAAAAAGTTAGGACGTTTTGCAAAATGCCATAAAATCAAGAATATGTGATTTGTTCATTCTCTTTAACCTTTATTTAACTGATAAAAGTACAAAGAACAGATTTCCAATGATTTAACTGGCCAACGTAATTGTATTTTGTTAATTTGAACAACTTTTGATATTGATAGCTGCAACACACTCCAAAAAAGTTGGTACAGAGGCATGTTACACCAACTTTCCTTTTAATTACACATTTTAATAGTCTGGGAATAAAGGATGCTCGCTTGATACAAGACTTCAGCTGCTCATCACTTCGTAGTCGTCGTTATTCTTCTTTTCATGCCAGGTCATACATTTTCAATAGAAGACTGATCTGCTGGCCAGTCAGTCACATCCACACGTGTCTACAAAACCACACTGTTGTAGCACATGCAGAATGAGGCCTGGAATTGTCTTGATCTAATAACCATGGACTTCCCATGATAGACATCATCTTGATGGCAGTATATGTCTCTGTACAATCCTAATATATGTATATACACATGCCAGTCACCCATGCCGTTTGCACTGATAAACCCCCATACCATGACAGATGTTTGCTTCTGCATCTGTCATTGATGAAAGTCTGGATGCTCCCTTTTGTCTTTGCCACTGAAAATTTGATGTTTGTTTTCCCCCAAAACAAGCTGAAATATGGACTCATTTGAGCACAGCACACATTTCCACTGTCTTTTGGACCACCTGAGATGAGTTCGGACCCAATGAACTCATTGGCGTCTCTGCCTAGGATTGATGTATACATTTCTCCTTGTGTAAATAGAGTTTCAAGTAGCATTTCTTGATGCACTATTTTTGAAAATAGGCTCATTTTCCAACTCCCCTAGAGTTAAACAGTTGAGTTTTACCGTTTTCGAATCCATTCAGCCGATCTCTGGGTCTGGCGGTAGCACTTTTAGCTGCAGCTTAGCATAGATCATTGAATCTGATTAGACCGTTAGCATCTCGCTCAAAAATGACCAAAGAGTTTCTATATTTTTCCTATTTAAAACTTGACTCTTCTGTAGTTACATTCTGTACTAAGTTGCGATTTTCTAGGCCGATATGGCTAGGAACTATACTCTCATTCCGGCGTAATAATCAAGGAACTTTGCTGCCATACCATGGGTGCAGCAGGCGCAATGATATTACGCAGCGCCTGAAAATAGGCTTATTACTATTTTCAGGCGCAACTTTTCATTTCCCGTCGGTCTTAGTACAAGATGTAACTACAGAAGAGTCAAGTTTTAAATAAGAAAAATAAAGAAACTCTTTGGTCATTTTTGAGCGAGATGCTAATGGTCTAATCATATTCAATTATCTATGCTAAGCTACAGCTAAAAGTGCTACCGCCAGACCCGGAGATCGGCTGAATGGATTCGAAAACGGTAAAACTCAACGGTTTAACTCTAGGGGAGTTGGAAAATGAGCCTATTTTCAAAAATAGTGGAGTGTTCCTTTAAGTTTGTCAGTGAAACATTGGAAATAATTTCTTTGTACTTTTGTCAATTAAATAAAGGTTAAAGAGAATGAACAAATTACAGATTCTTGATTTTACTGCTTTTTACAAAACGTCACAACTTTTCTAGAATTGGAGCGGTTCATGAAAATATAACACTGTAATTTTGGGTTTATGATTCCAAACTGGTGGTCTCTAAGGCATCTTTACACATACTATGAAAAGTTCAGTGTATTTGTTGTCTGTCCTTATATAATACTATTTCCCAAAATACCTAATTTTATTTACTTATAATGAAAAGTTTAATTCCGTTTAGGCTAAATTTGGGTTAATTATATTTGTGAAGCATTTTTCACAATACCCATAGTTTCAAAGCAGCTTTACAGAGAAGCATATGATCGCGTACTACGTAATGAATGTTTGCAGTGTCTCAGACACACACTTGAGGGATCGAATATACTTGAGAGATTTAAATTTTAATCAGTTTTTTTAATGTTTAAATCCATTTACCTGACAACTGGCCTATAACACTTTTGCACAGACTACTAATTTTTCCTTTAAAAATAATTTGAAAATCTAGTTTAATATGGTTTAAAATTAGTATTTCCATAAGTTAGACTTAATAGACTTAATGTGTTAGACTTAATATATTATACGATGTATTTTATAAAGTTCTTAACTTTTTAGGATTCAAAGAAGTGTCATGAATAGATACATCAAATACAAAGCATCTGATGAGATGAGTGTATAATAGTGACCAGACTGCTGTCAAACTCCAGAAACATGAGTATCATAGAGGAAGAACTGACCTCAGAGAGACAAATTACTGAACAATATAAGAAGCATTTCAAGATATCAACAATGTCTTGTTAATTATTTGCTAAACGTTCTTCTCTTTATTCCAGCTCCTCTGCCTGTTCCGGTCATCAGCAGAAACTCTTCACAATGTTCTTCATCATCATCATCATGTTCACTGCTGTGTTCAGTGGTGAATGTGGGTCATTTGACTCTCTCCTGGTACAAAGGAAACAGTTTATTGTCCAGCATCAGTGTGTCTGATCTCAGCATCAGTCTCTCTCTACCTCTGGAGGTGGAATATCAGGATAAAAACACCTACAGCTGTGTGCTCAACAATCTCATCAGCAACCAGACTCAACATCTGGACATCACTCAACTCTGTCACACATGTGCAAGTATGTGAATGGTAAAATGTTGCACCTTCTTTTGACAGCAAAAGCTTCATCTAAAGTAGCATACGTACATTACAAACTCAGCTGTGCTGCTCTTTATAATGTTTGTTGTAGATTAGACACATCCACTCACACTGACTCTCTTTAGCCACTACAGCACCAGGCCCACAGTCCACTACAAACTCTTCTTCACATTCTCCAGGCTCTGGACTTCTGACAGTGTTGACTTCTGCTGCTGCTGCTGTATCTCTGTTGCTTTTAGCTGCAGTCGGGATCTTCTGCATCTACAAGAGACACAGGAAAACAGACCAAGAAGGCAAGAGTTTCCTATTGCTGACACGTCTGTAAAAATATGAATACAATAATAATAAAAAAAAGATCAAGTATTTTTTTTTTTAGAAAGAAACAAATGTAAGATTGAGTTTTGTTGTTGTTGTTCTGTTGATTTAATTATTACTGTTGAAACAGATCAGACTCGTAATGAAGATATCACTTACGCTGATCCAACATTCTACAAACGAAAAGCACAGAAATCGGTAAGAGAATTTATAACTGTGTCATTAATGGATATTTATTAAGTTAAGATGTTTGTCCCATAACCATCCATACTTATAACAAAAATTCAATAACAAAAATAACAATAATTCTGAATAATAATAATAAATATTTATAAAAAAAACAATAATTATTATTATTTTTTATTAGTGATATTATTCATATTTATGAATGCTTTTTATTATGAAGTAAATACTTTATTACATATGAATTAAGTATTTACTTAAAAATACATTTGAAACTAATGTCTATAATACATAATATTCAAAATTTATTGTGACACTTCCTACAAGAAACCCAGTGTGATTCTGGGGAACGTAAGAGGAACCGACTTCATATATAAATATGCCTCAACAGTATAAATGTCAATTACGAGTTATTTCTGAGAAAATATCCTGAGGCAAAGATGGTAAATATGAAAACAGGAAGTCCACTAGAGCCCAGATTGATTAAAATAATATTAGGGCAAGTAATCAAGTAAACAGTTGGTTAATTTTAGTGAAAGTAAAATCGAATGTGTACATTTATTTGATCCGTGCATTAGGTCTTAAAGTGACAGTAGCCTAGCACTAACTACTCTTGACTGAAGAACTCTAGTAGCTTTAATAATGATTAATCAAGTTTTTATACAGTGAAGACTATGCAGTATTTTAGATTCTGTAGTATTTTTATTTCATCTTCATTTTCATATTGTAACAACCTTATTTCCAGCACAAAAAGTGAAGTCATATGGCACACTCCTGGATTCAATAGTTATTCAGTTTAGATTTGAAAACATTCATTTCATTAGAGAAATGACCAAAGAGAAAGAACAGAGAGGAAAACAACATGGTCAGGGTCTGATACAAATCTCTCAACTTTATAAAAAACAACTGTTAAATCACTTCTAACAGTTAACATGTTATAGTTCAGTGCGTTTTTGCTAAACAGGCACTGTTAAATTGTTTCACAGAAAATGAGGCCTTCAGAAAGCCAATGTGAGAAAAAAGTTGCACATTTTTTGCTGACTTATGCATGAATATGTGTGATAAAGAAAACACGAAAAATAAACCAAAAATGCCACTGCTGTCTTGTATAAGGAGACAGGTTACATTTTTTGCTGTGTAGAATTTACTAAAACAATCATAATAACCTGAATTAAACACCCCATGTAAAGCACCGATGTGAATGGCCTCTGTATATTTATGCAATTATAATAAAAAATAAATAAATAAATGTTATATCTATTCAATGGCCACAAATAGCACTATATAGAGTGTATTGAGAGGGGACCTCTACCCTTCATGCTAATGTTCATTGAAATATGAAGTTATGTTTTAATTTAAACAGTAAACCTATTGTGCAGCACTTTGCAAAATATGCCAATTAAACCATGTTAGATATTTTTGCTCTTACCGCCCAGCACAACTTAGCGTGCTGAAGACTACCACACCGAATGTTTGATATGTTAACAAACAATACATTTTTGCCACCGATTTTGAAAAATGAACTGATCTGATGTGTCTCTTTGTATCTTCTTCTTACTTGTGTTTTTCAGGAAGTCAAGCAGGAGGATGAGGTGGTGTATGCAGGCATCGTCATGAGAAGTTGATCAAACTCTTCATTTATGACGTTGCGATCACAGTCAGAACTGTTTACTCCAGAATATAAAGAATTATAAAGCTGTCTTTCTGCCAAAACAATTTTTTCATGTTTTTATTGTACAGAAAGTATGCACGCGCATTAGACGTCACAAAGACGGAAGTCACTGCAGCAGTGTTACAACGTTAGCGTTCAGCTTGAAACTAATCATTATGTATGTTACATTTTTTTATAAAATCAGACCCTGGGTTATATTGTATTGAGTTCTCATCAATTAAATATTTGTGATCTTACATTCTGTGTAACTTTTTGTCAGAATCTATTCAAAAACATCCTATAAATAATGAGCATTGTGTTGTAGAAAGTTAGTTAGCCAAGACAAACCCAGTTTTCATTAGAAGTGGGATCTAGTCAGCACCAATAGCCTCATGGGCAGCGTGTCGACATGTAGCGGCATTGTGCTTTGGGCTTCTCGAGTTCGAGTCCCGGCTCGTGGACCTTTCCCAGTCCCATCCTCCCTCTCTCTCCCACTTCCCTTCCTGTCTAAATACTGTCATATCACAATAAAGGCAAAAATAAATCTTAAAAAAAAAAGTGGGAACTCAACAAAGCAAAGACTGATGGGTGTGTGCTCATCATCAAATGATGTTTGACCATTAAATTACTACTATTAAAAATGCACTATTACTACTAAAATGCAATTTGTTCTATCATTGTATTTGCATACGCATCGAGCACTTAATTTGGTCAATAATAGAGTTCAGATAAAAAAATGAATGAATCGTGATTCAAATATGTAAACATTCAAGTAGCCTATGTAAACGAATTAGTTATGTTGGTGAATTAATCGCGATATTCACGGTTACCAGATTTCATTGGATCACGCTCACTTTTCATTCCGTCTGTAACTCTGACCGTTTTTATGAGCGGGTTTCCGAGCACCTCATGTTTGGTCTTTCCTCAGGGCAGTCACTGACTATCACCTAAGCAGATGACAGCTCTATCACAGCAATAGCGCTATAGGCAGGGTGAGCTTAGAGATTTGGAGGCCCCAACACACCAACTATGTGCTCTTTTTCTTTTGTAACCATTATTATGCTCTCTCTCTCTCTTTTAATTTAGAGTTTATTTACCCCTTCACAACTTGTCTTTATGGGATAGTGTAAATTCAGTAAATAATTAGTCAACCTGTTGTTATTCTAAAGCCGTATTACTAGGGCTGGACGATATGACCTCAAATCAAAAACTCGATTAATTGAACATTTTAGGTCGATTGCGATTAATGAACAATGTTTTAATAATAATAATATATATATACAGTGGGTACGGAAAGTATTCAGACCCCCTTCAATTTTTCACTCTTTGTTATATTGCAGCCATTTGCTAAAATCATTTAAGTTAATTTTTTTTCCTCATTAATGTACACACAGCACCCCATATTGACAGAAAAACACAGAATCGTTGACATTTTTGCAGATTTATTAAAAAAGAAAAACTGAAATATCACATGGTCCTAAGTATTCAGACCCTTTGCTCAGTATTTAGTAGAAGCACCCTTTTGATCTAATATAACAAAGAGTGAAAAATTTAAGGGGGTCTGAATACTTTCCGTACCCACTGTATATTTTTTGCCTTCACAAAGGCAAAAATATTTGTTTTCACAAAGAACATTGCTTGAAATGAAAACGTCACATTTCAATTTTAATGTAAAAACAACAAGTTTCCTAAAAAAAGAAGCAAATAAATAACTTGAATTTTGTTGCAAACAAAATTAATTAAGTCATTATAATCAGTAATTATGTCCCCACTGGATGCAACGAATGCCTCGTTTGTTATGGGTTTTATTGGTTATTGGACACAGCATCGCAGTATGTAAGGGGCGTAACATTTCCGTCACACGCTTGAGGTATTCGGCCAATCACAACGCACTGGATAGCTGGCCAATCAGAGTACACCTCGCTTTTCAGAACGATGAGCTTTGTAAAAATCGACACGTTTCAGAAAGGCGGGGCATAGAGGAGAAACAATAATGTACAGTATGAGGAAAATAATGTGTTTTTTTAACCTTAAACCACATAAACACATTTCATTACACCAAATACACAAAATAATGTTATTTTTTAGCAACGTCATATGACCCCTTTAAATATTGCCATGTCAAAAGTAGAAAATAACTTGTATCTCCTGTAAATAAATATTATTTTAAATAATGCAATTTGAAAAGTAGGAAATAATAACTGTACACACATATTTCAAATAATACCATGTGCAAAAATGTAAACAGAACACTGCTGATTAAGAGCAGGAGCAGGGATTGGACAGGGCATCTTTGTGTGCTCACAGTGTTATAGACATGAATCTGACTCATGATCATTTTTCTTCCTCTCAGTGATCTTGTCCTGTCACTCTATATGCACAAGTATTCACTCTAGGTTCTTACTAAGAAACACCTAACATTTTCACCTTTTCAGGTTTCAGGCAGGATCTGAGGCATGGATCAATGTTTCCTCCTGAACTGAAAACCGCTCTGATGGGCAGCTAGTGACTGGTATGTAGATATACTTTTTTGCCACCTTACTTGAGAAGGAAAGTGGTCATGATGCTTACTCCACCATTCCAGTGGGGTTTCCTCACTATCCAGCATGGGGGACACCAAGTAGTTCTTCCTAATGACCTCTTTGGCTTCTTTGCTTCTGATGAAGTTGTAGAGGGCTCTGTACTCTCTGTGGGACTTTCCCTGAGAAATGCAGCTGCTGACTCCTTCTCTGTTTTCACTTTCTCCTGAATGGTGGGGACATGGTGTGCAGAGATGCATGTCGTTTTAAATCTGGGATCAACAAAACTGTCTGTGTCCAGTAGATCTTCTG